TAATGATATTTTTTTAAATATGTATATTAAAAAATTAATTTTTATATATTTTATCTTTTGGTATAACAAGAACATAAATGGCAAATAACTCAAAAGTTAATCCTAATTATATGTGGTTAATAGTGGCTCGATCGACGGTTAGTTATAAATCATGTGCGTTCTAATTATGCGAGTATTGTATTCAAATGAAAAGAGAGATTTGCATAATTGCGCCCAAAAACGCAGAAAACTACCCCCGACAATTGCGCGCAAAAATCTACCCCATCTTCCGACAATTCAAAGGGGAATAGAATAACGCATTCTTTCTTGGTGGTGGTTTTAGTTGGTATCGAGCAAATGCAAAAATCAATTGCTGCTTCAGCGCGCTTGTGCAGGTAATAAAAACGTTAAAGAAAGAAGGGCTATGCCTACCTGTTGCTCTTGAAGAGCTTTTTCTCGATCATTCGGCATATACGTCGGGCTGAGCACCGTCCTCAATTGTTGCTCCACCTGCACAATGTGTTGTCTCAACTGTTGAATTTCCTGAAACGAAATAAGACAATCTCGCTCGATATGGAAAAACATTGTACTGACATCATAGTTTGAAGACTGAATGCTATCTTTCCCATTCCGCTAACCTGTTGATACTGATCTATCTGCGCTAAGCAAACTTCTAAAGAAGTTGTCTGTTCTTTAACGGTGCTGTGAAGAGTATTGAGTTCGGCGATCAGATCGTCGGCAATATCTTTCACCCGGTTGTCGCCGACGATACCGGACCTAAAGTGCACCTCGAGCTTTTCTACGGAGATCGTGATCTTTGTTTTTTGAATTGCGATGTCGCTAAGCATTTTCTCACGAATAGCATGTTGATCGCGCAACGGTTTCTTCTTATTCTGTGGCAATTCCAGCGTCTGCTTGGCCTTCTCCATCCAGCTCCGCACGTCCTTCATCTTCCTCTCGCATTGCTCCCATTCTTCACTGGCCTCTTGCAGTAATGCATTCTGTAATACGGGGATTTTTGACAATTGACTGATATTAACTTAAATTTCAGTCGAAGTGAACTAACCCTTTCCAATAGTTGACCCTCAACTTGGACTTTGCCCTCTTCCGCTTCGGCCAACTTCTCTGGTAGGTCCGCCACGGTAGTTACCTGACCGATATTCTCCAATTCTCTGCCCATGTCACTAAGATTTTTATTCACCTGCTTGCAGCTCTTGACTGCTGTCTATAAAACGAAGGAAGTGTCAGGCGAACGTTGTCGCATATCGAAGAACGTAAAAAGTGACGTTCTTTCACATACCGAATATTCGTGCAATCTCTGTCTGGCTTGCTGAAGAGTGCTGAGCTTCAGTGGTTCGACTAGGAATTGTCGTTTTTCCTCCGTCCATGTCTTAACAGCCTCATAAAGTGCAAGGAACCTCTGCCAGGCATCTAAGGTGTCGCCCACGATTTGTTTTTTCTCTTCCAACCAACTCTTGATTTGCGCTAGTTGTTCAGTAAGATTATCGATCGTGCTATTGATTAGCTCCTTTTCGGTGTCGTCCCTCGTGTTCTTGACGATGGTTTGCCCATTCCTCGTCAGTCGTTCGAGCTTATCGCTAATCGTGCCCAGCTCATTTTGTATTTGTCTGAGATTTTCTCTGAGGATAGCCGGTTCGATTGATCTGTCCTGTACCTTGAGCTCGGCTTGTCGAATCCATGCTTGCACCTCGTCCACGTCGGTTAGATAATCCGACCTAACAGTCCTAGCACGTTTCTGCTCTCTCTGTTTTTCTTCCATTGTTTGTGTCGTTGCTTCGGCACAAAGCTCGAGTGCGGTCAGATGCTGGGTAATGTCACTTGGTACTAGCTGCTGGCTAGCTTGGTACCGCGCCTTAATGCTTCCTGAGAAGTTCTTGACGGTATCAACGAGATCCTCAACCTGTGAGTTCAGCTCTCCCAGTTCGATCTCGATCGCGTCTTGATCAACGCCGTAAACGTATAAGTTCGACGCGTTTTCGCGCGTCTCGTTTAGTCGCTTTCGCAGGCGCTCGATTTCACGTTCGATGTTTTCGAGCGCCTCTAGATCCTCGTTCGCCTTCTCGGACTTCCCACGAAGAGAGCCGACGAGTCTAAAAGGATGATTCGAATGGTGATGATTCGCACAGCGAAAGAGGCTCTCATAGAGAGTAACTCTTAACATTTTTTTTGTCATACAGACGCGTTGAATTTATGTAAATACATTTGGTCATTTAAGGGAAGGTTGGCGAGAAAAGCAAGCTCGATTATTTATTTTGAAACTAAAATACTTGTCTCTGTATAATATTAAATTCCTTTTACTAAAAATAACAAAAAATTGAATAATATTAATTATACAAAAAAATATAAATAGTATAATGCTGCTTATATTTAAAAAGATGAATAAAATAAGATGTAATTATTCTTATTATTGCCTATATATAACATGTTACAGACACATATAGAGCATGATTTATTGAGATATCATTCCAAATAACAGACATATTTCCGAAACGAATATATTATAATATATTAAAGTTCCACGTGAAAAAAATTGTATGAAATAATCGGTAGTCTTAAACATTTGTGGTGAGACAAATTTAGAATCGGAAATGCGTGTCGCTGTGCTTCGGCTGGCCCGATCCCAGGCGAAGTCGCGCAGTCAGGGCAGCCTTGGCTAAAAGTAGACGAAGGAAGTATGTACCGATGGGAGTTTGGCCGACTGTTCACACTTGTGGTATACGACGATGAAAAACTGTTCAAAAAAGGTGTTATATGATTTTACGAGACAATTATTTTATTTAACATCCACACAAAACACAATCGGTTGCGTTTCGAGAAACAATATGTTTTTTTTTTCAGATACTAATTTTTTATCAAATCGAATAAACTAGAAAAAGAAAAGTATCCGATTTTGTAATAGAATTTTAATAATATTATAATTAATAATATAATTTTCTATTTTATGTTTATCGAAGAATTTTTTTAACAAGTGCATAAAAATCTCTTCTCTCTTTAAATAAGAACAGAGTAAATTATATTTTTTTTTACTGCCAGTTGCACAGTCAACATAAATCACGAAGAATAATTTAAACGTTGATGTCATCTGCTAAAAACTCGTATGTTGTCATCCTTGTCCTTTTAGAAGGAACAATTTTGATTTCATCATTACTAAGGCGATCTATATTTTCAACGATGATTTTCGTTTCTCGGAGAATTACAAAATTACAAATTGAAATTTATTACGATTCATCCCGTTTCTCTTTATCTACTTGCTAGAGAGTGAACTCTTATTAATTTAGTACAATTAATTTTATCACGTTACAATATGCTATCTTTTAATTTGACATTAAGTATAAGTTAGCGATTATGTATTTGCCGATTTTTACACATTGCTCTCAAAATACATGATCATGAGGATTCTCGAAGTCAATGTTGACTTTTGTGCAATGATTCTTTTTCTACGATGACATCATTGAGCCGGCCTGAATACGAGATACGATTACCGGCCGGCAGATGTAACACGACGAAAGACACGTAAAAAATTAAAAAAAAACAAGGAAAAAAGATCCGTGATGTAAGATTTATAGATTAATTATGTAAAACATAGACACTTCTTTGATTTTATTTTATAATTATTTTTTAACGTATCGTTGAAGTTTTTTTTTCTACGAGTGTTTAATTGTTCCTATTTGTATAACATTTTCATTTTGTGAATTCATTCACGTGACCGCGAGCAGTAATGAAAATTGCTCATCTGAAATAAGAAATAAGAGAAATTAGAATGATAAATTTGCGTGCCGCGACAGTCGAATCAAATTCATCGCCAAAATGAGTTTCCTTCTAGAAACTATTAACATTTGCACGCAGTGATCTATTTCCAGCGCTATGAGTTTAGGTGCGAAACGATTATCTATTCTCACGCGATCTCGTATAATCTGCGATAGTTCCATCGATCGCACAACTTGCTGGTTGCGATCATATGCTGTGCACGATTCTATTTCGTTAATTGTAGTGCCTAACAGATGTCATAAAAATTTCTCGTTACTAGCAGTGTTTGAATGAAATCACTCTCAATCTATCTGTACGAACGATATCGTAATCGAACAATAAACCCGAGCAATATATGTACCTATGGTTGAAGTAATCGCGCGATATTCGCGTTTTCGCGATATAACGACAGCGAACCGAGCGCGAACTTTTCACTTTCTTCTCTTTTTCTGGATTATTTTTTCTTTAATCCTTGTCTTTGTTCCTGCGTTTATCTGGATAACAGTATGGCGCGGCACTATCAAGCCAAACAGCAGCGTTCGCGGTTCGAAACGTTATTGGAGGGATACAGTCGCTTGAGCTAGCGTTAGACGCCAGTTGAGACGCATTGGCGAGGCGCCGCGACGCATGCGGCCTGATCTTAGAAACGGTTTGGCTAGCCAAGAACGTCCTAAGAATAATCGGTCAGTGAATATATAAGGCCGATAAGGAATGGAGAATTGGAAGACTGTACCAAATGAATTTTAAATAATAAGACACGAAAAATACGTAATGACCTCATCGTGCAACTCGTAGTAGAAATTTTACGACTAATTTTGATCGGAGCTTCTTATTATAAATTTCTTTGTGCGACTTTAACTTTATATTTTGTATAATTTGTTGTGCAGTCTTTCTCGACGAAAATTGACTGGATATATCCGGAGATTTGAACTAGTATCTTAGCTGGATGGAATCAGCAGATTTATAAGCGTATTGCACGTGATTTAATCGGTACCGTGACTATCGCGATGAAATAACACGAGTCATAATAACAATTGCAAAGTGGCATAGCAATTAAAATGGAGATTGCATGCAATATATACGTATACTATTGTTTAAAAATTTCCAGATAAATGTCGTTGAATAATATACGGTTTAAAATAAATATGAATAAAAATACAACGTTAACTACGTTTATCAACAAAATTTTAGAGAAAATAATAGAAAATTTATCGAATAGATCGATTATTAAAAAGAATATACTAATGTTATCTATTATTATAAGTTCAATTAGAAAATTCCACAGCAATATTCGTATGACAAAGAAATTACGAAATTTAGTTGTAATCTATTCTAATTGTCTATTCTAATTGTCAAGAGAGAATTTTGTCAAAAATATTTTATCTTTCTATCATTTCAGATAATTGATGTTCATAAAAAATTAATAAATTTTGTTTCAACTTACACATTCTAACGCGAAAAATTTGCCGGAGATGCGTGCCGATTATTATGTGCATTTTATTGAATCATGAATCATAGATACATACATGTACGTGATATCATGTCTTGTTTATATGATACATGTGTAAGATGCAACGTTTGATTTTATTTTCAGACGATGTCTAATTTATATTTAACGAAGATTTAATTAGCGTCGGACGCATCCTATGATCGGCCAGCGAACTACGTATCGATGACATTACACATCAAGGTATATAGATAGAGCATTAAAAAATTTATATCCATCGCGATCTTTTTATTTCCTAACTAAATCTCCGCTATACTTTCCACTATATTTCCGTACATTGTTAATTATAAAAAAAAGAATCTCAATTATAGAACAGTACTTTATAAAATTCGCAAAAAATTGAATTTTGCAGTGAAATATGTTTTCTTTTGAATTTTATTAATGATACGCAAAATATGAAAATATAATATAAATTCCAGTGTCCTTATCTCCAATTAAATTTCTTTTGATTGAAATTTATCTCTGATTCTACGTGCGATACACATATGTCGATATCGTACTAATATAGTTTGTTTCGCTTTGTGCGCATGCGAAACTACGACGTTTGCGCCATACGAGAAATGAGGTTTCGCAAGTTTAAGTAATCGTTTTGATTAAGTCGCGATTGGAGGACGTTATCCAGATATATCCTCATCGAATTAATATGATCTTTTTTTTCCATTGATATTTAATGAAAATCAAAAAGAAAGAAAAAATCCCGTGTGTATCATACCTCGGAAGAGCGTGTCTCCCAAAACGTAAGCTCATATCCGTTCAAGTGTTAGTATTCACCAGAGTTTTTCATTTGTTGTGTGTTACGTTCCGCGTATAAAATATGATAATTACGCCACTCCCATCGTTGACAACACAACAACACGTGCGGAATTGGATGTAAATACATTGAGACGAGACGTCATGCCCGATGACAATCCGCCACCTGGCAAAACGTCAAAACGTCGCACGCCGGCGTTATCCGCGAGTGCTTAAACGCGAGCACTTAAACACGTAATCAGCGTCGATGATACGTCTGCAGAAAGATGCAACGAAAAATACAATTTTTAGCATCGTGCGCAACACGTCGTCGGTGCCGGTATGATGATGACTGAATGAACTGACGCTGGGTAATACTACGGGCGACAAAAAGTATGGTAGGGGCCATGGACACCGTTTCCCCTTGGGAACGCATATCGACCTTCCTCTTCTGTCTTATATCGAGTGTTTATACGGTGTTATACAGTATTACGTCATATGACAGATTTAGTGATGACGTAGCGCTAATGAAGCGATGATGAATCGATGAATATCGGCGATCACGGCTAAATGTCGATTGTATGTGTGCGCGCGTGACTAATTTTCGCAAATATTGAAAAAAAGCGCGATCGCGACTTATTTAATTTGATTACAAGCTAATGTGAATCTTTTCGTAACAAAAAAATTTTGTGGGAGACCAACAACTCTTAAATTACCAACGATAAAGAGAATGAAAGATTTTTTAAATTATATTTTGGTAATACAAATGGATAGTAAAATCTAATTCATTGTTGAATTTTTTTATCGACAATTAAAAAGTCTAATTAAAGAAGGTTAATTGCGTAGATGTTTAAAAATTGGAATGTTGTGTAAGTGATATAAGTAAATTGTCTTTTCTTAATATTTTCGATAGAATAAAATTAATTCTATATTAGTCAAAGAATTATAAATGAAAAATAATCTATTAAATCCTAGGATATGTATTAGATAATATCTAATATATGAGAAAATGTCTGCAAGTTATATTTATATTTACGTACTATTTATTCTCCGTTTTGTGGCGCTAATCGCATTATGTCGAATTTGGATCAGCAATCACATTGCGTCGTAACCATTATTACGTATTTGATTTGTAATTTTTACACAATGTTATGTAATCGTTAATTGGAGCACGACGAATAATGATCGAAAATTTGTCGGAGAATTTTATTATGATTAACTGTTGCTGTGTAACAGCTCAATTTGAAAGACATAATTGGAAATAATATGAAAATTTAAATTTACTTTAATAACTTTCACAAAATTGTTTCACTGTCATTCTTTCGCAGTTTTACTGTAAGTCTTTTTAAAATAATCTTTGTCATTGATTCATGACATATTATAATATTTCGTTTTGAAATAATTGCACTATCGTTTTACAAGTATTTTAGTTTCCTCGCTCATTGACCAACTGTTTCACTACTGATATTGCGACCGAAAAGTCAATTGCTAGCGCATTGTTTTGGCGCAATGATTTGGATGCGTCATGGTAGGATAACAATCTTAAAAACCTTTATTAAAATTGCGGCACATTCGCGCATCGTCGATATTTCTACTTATTAAAAAAAGTGATCTTATAATCTTCCCCTAAATGTCAAAATTAAAAGAACATATCTTACATTAATTATATTATATTATTTTTAATTAATATACCACTATGCTAAAATGCAAAAAATTAAAATGATATGATCATCTGAAAGGAATACTAGAAATACTGATTACATCAGTACAAATATAATGATGAAACATAATTGCTGAAATAGAAAATATATATGTCGTAGAAAAAGGGAACATATAAGCAGAAGCTTCAAATGCACATTTATACATGCACATGCAAATCTGCTCGCAGAAGGACCTAAATAGCACCTTTTATTACCAGCCCAAAGATCAATAAGCTATTATAAAACTTATAAAGTATTATAATAAGACAAATACAAAAAATATTGTAAACTTAAATTTTTTAAATATTTTTAAATTAAATTTTTATGACTACAAATATTATCAATTTTATTCTCCATATTAAATAATAATAAAAGTGCATGTATATTTTATTTCTGAAATTACAATATAACCGTGATATTAAAACTTGAAAAAGTAAAATTTTATAAATCCGGAATGCTATATAAAATGCGAACATTTGGTATGTTTTTGCTAGAATACATGGAATAAATATTAATCGTTAAAGTTATATTCTATTATTTTTATATTATTAGTCTATTTATAAAAATGTTTTTCACTTAACTACCTATGTTAATAAACGATAAAATAATATTGAATTGACTTAGTTGGCTAGTGATAACGTGAGGCGGTGCTGGTCCACATTCTGAGCAGATATAAAAGCAAAATACACTTTGACTCACGATTCGACGGATTTTTGTAGTTTCTCAAGGCGTTCCTCAAGATTTCGTGCTGGTGCTTCCGTAAACGCTGCGAGATAGGCAAGTACAGGTCCTGCCAAACTCTTCACTTCTTCCGTTTCAGGTTTAAGTTTTTCAGCTTCCGTTACAAGTTCCTGTCCACAGCAAAGTTAGGAAGCGTATTAACTTCTCTTTCAATCTTTGATCATTTTACATCATTTTCAAAGTTTTGAAATTATTTTAATTTTTTAGCACATATTAAATTTTTAATTAAAATATCTATTTGTAAAAATGTCAAGGCATCTTTTATAAAAGGATCTCTTATATGATCGTCTTTTATGAGCGTTCATCACGGCTTGATAATTCGTGAGCGACTAAAGTAGTTAGCTTTGGAGGGCCGAGCACCTGTGGTGCCTGGCTGTGCAAGTCTGACACGTTCGGCATTTATAAAGAGGGTGCATCAGGAAAAGAGAAAGATAGAACTAATAGTATGTCTGTATCCCTAGTGCACGGTAAATCGATAAGAATGTGTATCCACATAAAATGCGACATTACATAGCCATTTAAAGAATCAAAAAGTATACTTCGCGTGACGTACATATTTTCTATTATTATACAAAGTTTTATCTATGCTCATGTCAATATTTATAGAACATGCTTAACCCACTTTCAATATTTTTAGCTATTTTTATGCGATTTATTTAAATTCATGTGTGGAGTATATATAAGATAGATTATTCCGATATTGATTCTCAAACTAATTGTATTACATTTATATTGCTCGTGATTTTTTTAGTAGACAAATTATTATTTTATCCGTATTAGAAAAATTGTTACTTACTTCTAATACTTTAACAGTATCATGTAAATGTTGTTTCGATCGCACCACTGTATCGACGAGTTTATTTTTTTCCTCAGTCGCGATCAATCGTGATTCGATGAGAGCCCATTGCGCTTCCAAGTCTTCCCAATGTCGCGATAATGCCTCGAGTGCATCCCTGCGTCCTTCGAGTCCCGAAACTAATTCGCGCCATTGCAAATTGATCTCGGAAAGCTGTGATTCTATCGCTTTCTTGTTATTAATATCTGCGAGTCGGAGGACTTCTTGTCCACGTTCATTTAAAAGATCCAACTCGAATTGTTGATTCTGCGAAAATAAAAAGACATTCAAAAATGCATCTAATTAATTAGTATCGAGCATATATATAGTATGTACATATGTCGTACATAAAGCAATTTAATTTTTCTTTTAAATATATGTATGCAAATGTAAAAAGAAAAATTTATTAGAATACATTAAAATTTTCTAGACATACTTTTTTATTTTATAAAAAAATGTTTTATTGCAAATATCATAAATATATGAGTTCAATATGACTTGAAGATTCTATTTAATGTAATATAAAGACTTACAGACTTTTTTTAATGTAATATAAAAAATACGTAATTGTAATCACAAAAAAGAAGAAACAATTATTTATATCTGTATTTCTTGACACACCTGAATGTCATTCAGAGCATGCGTAATTTTCTGAATATTGAATTGCAATCCAGCTAATGTTGTGACCGGTTCATCCGTAAATTTAGTTCTGCTGATAACGGCGCGAACACGTTCCAAGCTTTGTGTATAATCCCTCCACATCTCTGCACCCTGTTCCAACCGTGAACGTTGCGATTTAGCCGTATTAAGAGTGTTCTTTAACAACTGAGTATGCTGCTGTTGTTGAGCACCTAGTTCTTCCTGCTCATAACTATCCAAAGACGGCCAGATTTTATCTGCCACCTGTTGAATCTGTTGTGACACGAGTTCGCGTATCGAAGATTCGGAGCTGAAATATATCTAAAAACATAACAGAAATTAAATTAAATTTATTTATTCACGATAATATTAATTTTGTAAACAGTCGAAAATCTCTCATTTCTTAATTTAAATGATTCAAATCAATCTAATTAAAAAAGTAATAAGAAAAACTCACCTTGTGTTCTTCCAGATCGCTAAAAATGTTTTCAAAATCGAGTCCTTCTTTATTGCTCTCGAGCCGAATCTCAGCTTCACGAGCCCAGCTGTGAAGCTTATTTGTAAGAGCTGCGTAATCCAATCTCATCTGCATGTTACTCTCGAAATAATTTCCACGCTCTTCCATCTCTCGCGGTAAGGATGTCAACAAAGAAATTGCTTCGCTTAACATTTCTTTTAAGGATCCAGGCATTCCTTCTTCATGTCGCAGTGATTCCTTTAGATTTCTGATTCTATCTAGATATTCATTTACATCAGCGCAAAGGGCATGATGTTTCTTTAATTCTGCTTCAACGCTCGCTGGATCTCTTTCCAACAATGGTCTAGATTTAACTTCTTTCTCCTTGCTCTCAAGCCAGTCAAGAATGTCTGCCAATTCACTAGCGAGTCTTCTATGCTCAGCTGCCGCCAGTTCGTGTTGCTCTCTTTGAGTTTCTACTGCCCTTCGGAGAGCCTGTAATTGTTGTTTCAACGATTGCAGTTGTTCCGTCACGTTATTCCTATCTACAACCGAACCTTCCGCCGCTATTTGCTGTCCTTTGTCCGTTGCACTAGCGAGAGTAGCTTCGCATTCCTGAATTTTTAATATAGCGTCGTCGTACCTGTTGAATTTTTGATAATTAAATTAATTAATCATTAATAAATCACTAATGGAATCAAATTTTCTATTCCTATTTAAAGTTTAAGGTACATTGTTTATTCAATATATGATATTAATATCCACAAATACAGTACCTTTTAATTTTCTCTTCCGTTGTTTGTCCAGATTTCTCAATATCTCGAACAATTTCAGTATACTTGGCAATGAAAGTAGTAATCTCTGCGATCAAGGCGATAAATTGTTGCCGTAATAACAGCAACTGACGAAGTTTCGCTATTTGTGCTTCGAGAATTCTTATTAAATCATCTTGTTGAGCTAGAACACCATGTAGATCTCCTATATTAGCAGATTGAAGATCAGATAATTTGGCTTTATTTGCTTTGAGATCGTCCAAAATTCTTTCATAAGCGGCCAACATTCCTTCCACATCTTCCACACGAGCACCAATCGGTTTATTCAGATCATGAAGTTCTTTCTGAATGTCTGTCATGAATTGAATTGCCTCCGCCACTCGTGCGGCAGCTTCTTCAGCTTCATCTATATTCTTTTGAAGTGCAATTGCTCTTTCATTTATCACATCGGCCACTCGTCCGTGAGCTTCTTTCATATTTTTCAACTGTTCGCTCAATTCTTGCTTATCGGCATCACTCACAGTCGGTAAAATTGATTTTCCTTGTTGATTTATTTTTTCTATGTCATCACCGTATTCTTGTGCCTCTTTCTTCAATCGATCGTACTGTAAAAAAGAAAGAAATATTTACATTCTTGAAATATATACTTTGCAAAAGATATACAAGGTGCATCAAAATCTCAGTGAATTTTTTTTATAAGAAATATATACATACCTTAGCAAGTTGTTCACGAAGAATGTCAAGACTGGAAGGTCGCAACTCAGAAGAGGTAGCCACTTCAGCTTCCTTAATCCATCGTTGACACTTGTCTAATTCACTTTCAAAAGCCTTGCGTCCCTGAAGAAGATCTGCTAACGAAGCTTGTTTTTCTTTCGCCTCCTTCTTCAATTCCTCATAATCCTTACTTAGATCGTCCAGAAGGGCCTGGAGTTTGGTGCGACTGTCTGCATTACAATCTTTCAGCAAATTGTGCCCTTGTTTAAGAATATCTTTAAGATTGCTTTCATTAAAGGAATCGATATCCGTTTCCAATCCGCTGTGTTGTGCAATATCTTGCTCAACTTTCGAAGCTCTCAAAGGCAGATATCCGCTAAGTTTCTTTAAATCGTTGCCTTTAGACTTTATCCAATTTCGTGCTTTTTTAATATCAGTCTCTAATTTGCGACGTGCATCAGCTGCCGCATTCGCGATGGATATTTCTTCTCTCAAAATGGCGCATAATTCAACCTGTTCGCCGCGCAAAGATTTCGTGTCAGCTTCTAATTGCTGCTGCTCGCTGGTTTCCAGTTCGTTCTGCATATTTCCAACTCTCTTTTCCAATGTATCTATAATCAATTGCTTTCCATCTGTTTCTTTCAACATAGCCTGTAAAACATAATATTATAATTTAAAAATAATGTATATTGATATTTTTTGAGGAAAAAGTAACAAGAAAATGAAGAATTATACCTTGAGAGTGAGAAGTCTTTCTTCCGCCTGTTTGCTTTCGAAGCCAAGCAATTCAGGCATCTTTACTTGTTGCTTTTTCTGTTTAATCCATTCTCGATTCTCTTCGATCTCTCGCCTAGTTGCTTCGATGCCTTGTGCCGTCATCTCTAAGACCTGTGCTTTTCTTTGTAACTTCTTACCAATGTCCGCGTATCGTCTCTCTATCGACTTAATTTGCTCTTCTATTTGCTGAGAATCTAGATTGCTGACCGAGTCCATCACTTGGTCGCCTAATTTCTTTACTTCTGCCAATTTCTCTGTTCCCTGAGATTCAAATTCGGTTGTAATGTCTTTAAGATTTGAAATTTTCTGACCGATAGTCAATCCACTACCCTTCTCAATCATGTCGACTTTCTTCGATAGGCCATCGAACCATGTTTGAATATTCTGCACTTGTGATCTGTATTTCTGGATGAGATCCTGTGCTGCTTGTTTTCCGGCGATAGCTTCAGTCAGCTCGGTCTCCAGTTTGTTCAATCCTTCCTCAATATCATGATCCTCTTCTTGGATCGATAATTCCGTTAATGCGCGAGTGCGACGTTCGCCTACATTGGTGAGCAATTCGTTCATTGCCTGCAACTCGGCCTGAGCAGCCTCCTCTCGCAATTTCGCTGGTCGTGACTTCCATTCAGCGCAGAGGGCTCTCTGCTGATTAATCCAAGCACGAAGCGAATTCTTTTGTCGCAATTGCTCCTCTAATTGACCTACCGTTTTCATCACATTTGCCAAATGCGTTTGCATCTAATAAGATACATAATTTACATTAAATATACGTACAATTTTCAATTACATTTAATAGAAATAAAAAATATTTATGTATAGAAAAATTAGTAATGTTAGAAACAAAGAACAAATTAGATAATGTTAGACAGATCATTTATGTTTTTCATTTTCTATATCTCTACATTAGATTTTATAATGTTAATTTACAGTTTATAAAATTAATTTATTTTATTACACTTACTAATTTTATCTGATTAATAAATGAAATTAAGTACATACCTGATCAATGAGATCATCGAGTCTTGTTCTAACTTCGACTTCTCTTGCGGGGACTTGAATAGGCGGAGCATCAAGAGGACTTCCGGGTCTAGAGACGCATGCCGCCGCAGCTTCGCAAGCTTCCACCGCTAATGCCAATCGAGCTTTTTCGGCTTGAAGTTTGTTGTGTAGAGTTCGAGCACTCTCGAGGCTCTGCTCAGCAGAAATTAAGTTATTCAATGGAGCTTCTAATCCTTGAGTCATTTCCGTCTCATACATGTCTAGATTCTTCATGATACTCTCCAGAGTGTTCTCATATTCCTGGAATTTAGTTAGAGACTCTGTCAATCTATTCTTGATTTGCAGGGCGGTATTCAACAACGAATTGTAACTATCCTGAACATTTTGCAATTGCGTTTCTATAGTTGATCTAATAGTAGGATTCGCACCGACATATCTATCTATTTGACCATGACCCTTCAATTTTAGTTCGTCTAATACTTCCTGATACTTCTGAATTTCAGCTAATAATGCTTCATGCTGTTTGATTTGTTCGATCGTTTGTTCTTTGTTGGTAATATAGAGAGAATTGTGTGCCATTAATTGGAAAGAGATTTGCAATAGCCACTTTTCTGTTTCTTGTAAAGCAGCATGATACGAATTATACTCTTGCATCTCATTTTCCATAAACTTTTTCTTCTCGCCGACAAGTTCGGCTAGCGTCTTCCATCGGTCTAATAAATGTTTCGTTTCGTTTAGCGTCGTGTTATTTTTCGCCCATGCTGACAATTCCGTTGCTTCCGTCATCAAATGATCTAAGTCGGATTTTTTATCACAAATTTCCTCTTGAATATGTTTGTATCGTTCAAGCATTGTTTTCATCTCACCAAACTCGCCTTTTGTATCCGGAAAACCTTTAATAATTCCTTCGTTCCCTTCTAACCACTTTGCAAATTTATTATGCACTTCCGCATGATCCTCCCAGCGATTCAAAACCGACTTTACTTTAGCTTGAACCGTATTAAGATCTATGCTTAATTGTTCCCAATTTGAACGTAAATTGGCCATATCCGATCGTAACTGATCTTGTTGTTCTGGAAGAACCATGTTTATTGCTTTTGCAAAAGCATTTTGCAATGTCGATAGTAGATGTTGACCTTCCGTCATGCGCGTCGCCACCAGCTTGAATTAAAATAATTTTATCGCTGTTAGATTATTTAACTATATTTATTTAAATTTTGCTATCATATATATTTAATTAATAGATCTATCACATAATATTTTTAATTTATTCTAATATTTTTTATTAATATACAAATTTTAAAAAGTATATATCTATTAAAAAAATAAATAAATAAGACACGTACGAATTTATATTTGTATGACATATTTTTTTATTAATACGATTAGTAAATCTAGTAATATATTTCATTGACATTTCCTGCAAAAAATTTTCTGTATTTTTTTTCTTCAATAAAACTTACCCTCAAGGTTTCTAATTTATCCTTTGCCCAAGCCGTATCTCCTACACCGATACAATCTTCTACTGAGCCTTGAGCAGTGCGTAACCAATCCTCCATCTCCTTTTTCGCTTTTAAGAATTCAGTATGATCGGCGAGGTTCTTCTCGACTTTGAAGACGAGCCCTTGCGCATCGGTCAATAGCGACGTGTACGCTGATTGCAATTGTACCGTCTTATCTCGCGCCCAGCTGCAAGCGCTAATCTCTAATAAAGCTTCACATTTGTCATTCAAGTCTTCCAGAACAGGTTTTTGTTTAACTGCCTCTTCCACCAAATATTTACAACGCTCTAAATCCTCTGGAGTTTTATTATCTTTAGTCTGTTCGTCTGCAATCTTCTTTTGGAAATGATCTATCCATCGCTTCATACCATCTAACGTATTCGTGAACTGGGACCAGCTTGAGATGCAGTTGGCAAGAGTTCGTTGCGAATCGTTGCATTGTGCTTGCAAGGATTTCCAATCAGCCTGTATTTGTTTCATGTCTTGCTTAATGGAATCTTGGCCCTCGGGTCCTGTCTTAGAGATCACAACGTCGCTTAGCTCGATCACTTTCAAAATCAACGTGTCGCCTTTTGGCAAGGATGAGATGATTTGATTGACTTTATTCTCTCGTTCGATAATTCGTTCTTTCTCGCCATGAGTATCACTATATTGTTGAAGTTCGACTTTTGTATGACGCACCCAGTCACCTGCCTCGTTCAAAGCTTGTTGGAATTTTTCGTGATCTTTGACTTGATCTTCCAAATTCTAAAATAACCAAAATAACAATATTATTATATTATTATATTACATTCCTGTTTGCAATTAAAAAAAGAGTTCTACTTACATGAATTTTTTCAGAAATTAATTTCTTCAAACTATCATATTTATTGATTGTCAATTCGTACGGACTTTTGGATATGCTGTGATTTTCAGTAAGACGAATCTTTAAGCGATTCACCGTTTCGCCATGACCGTGAATATCTTTTTGCAAGATCTTATATTTTTCTAACAGAGCACGTTTCTCACTAAGATCATTTCTGTATACATCTCCTGGTTGAATCTTGCCTTCAACTTCCTCCAACCAATCCGAAATAAGTCGGTGAATTTTGTTGAGCTCCTCTAACATACTTGCTCTTGTTGACAGTCTTTGTCTCACATCTTCGACATCGACTAATAACTTATCAAATTCGCTTTTTAAGTTCTCGGTGTCTTCTTGAATCTTTGCTGCGCCGTTTTGTTCCGTGTTCATAATGACTTTTTCTTTCAATTCCAGAGCATAACGTAATTTGTTCTGACCTTGCTCCAACGTCTGTCGAATAGTTTTACACGTATGTAACTTGTTATTAACTTCACTTAATGTACTGGGAATATCTTTGCACTCGCTTAATTTGTCTCGTGTGCGCTCTATCCAATCTTGACATTCTTGAT